GAGCGTCTGTGAAGAGTCAAGCTAAACATCAAGTCTTTATCACACCAGCTAATCACCAGGCACAGGCCTGTGGTCTACATCAATGTCCCCTAAACACTTTTTTTTTAAAATAAGTGCCGTCTCCAAAATGAAGGCTGGCTACAATGTTGTCCTTGAGAATATTACGTGGTGAGGCCTCAACCTCTTCCTTGGTGTGTTTCTCGTACCACTGTCCGAACACCACAAGAATTAAGGGGTGGGGGGGGGCGAACCTAGGTTTTCGATCATGACATTGTTAACTGCATTCACTTATCTCTAACTCTAAGCCATGGTGCTGCACATGTAAACACAGGTGAAACTACTTACCAAAAAGAGGATATTCCCTAAAGTATTGAGTGGAAGACACATCATAGAAACGAATATAATCAGAGGAGAAACTACTTACCAAAAAGGTGATATTCCTCAAAGTACTGAGAGGAAGACACGTCATAGAACCGAATGTAATCAGAGGAGAAACTACTCACCAAACAGATGATATTCCTCAAAGTATCAAAAGGAAGGCACATCATAGAACAGAATGTACTCAGAGAAGAAACTACTTACCAAACAGATGATACTCCTCAAAGTACTCAGAGCAAAACACATCATACAACAGAATGTAAACAGAGGAGAAACTACTCACCAAACAGATGATATTCCTCAAAGTATCAAGAGAAAGACACATCACAGAACCGAATGTAATCAGAGGAGAAACTACTTACCAAACAGATGATATTTCTCAAAGTACTGAGAGGAAAACACATCACAGAACCAAATGTAATCAGAGGAGAAACTGCTCACCAAACAGATGATATTCCTCAAAGTATCAAGAGAAAGACACATCATAGAACCGAATGTAATCAGAAGAGAAACTACTCACCAAACAGATGATATTCCTCAAAGTACTGAGAGGAAAACACATCATAGAACCGAATGTAATCAGAGGAGAAACTGCTCACCAAACAGATGATATTCCTCAAAGTATTGAGAGTGAGACACATTATAGAACCGAATGTAATCAGAAAAGAAACTACCTACCAAAAAGATGATATTCCTCAAAGTACTGAGAGGAAGACACATTATAGAACAGAATGTAATCAGAGGAGAAACTACTCACCAAACAGATGATACTCCTCAAAGTACTGAGAGCAAGACACATCATGCAACCGAATGTAATCAGAAAAGAAACTACTTACCAAACAGATGATATTCCTCAAAGAAATGAGAGGAAGTCACATCATAGAACAGAATGTAAACAGAGGAGAAACTACTCACCAAACAGATGATATTCCTCAAAGTATTGAGAGGAAGACACATCATAGAACCGAATGTCCCTGCTGGTTGAACCAATGGCAATCTTCTCACAGTTCTTCATGTACACGGCGTCGGTGACCCACATTCGGAAGCGTCTCTTCTGATCGTCCCCCAGGTCAGAGATGACGTAATGCTTGTCCACGGTCATGTTGGGATGCCACACGCAAAGAGACCCCTCCTGGTGGAGTATGTAGATTCTACCAGTGATTCCGAAGTTTGAAGTAACTGGCTAAAACTAAATATGCTTTATATAGAATTTCAGAAGCAATGGAAGCCGTTATGGTGTAGCGGCTAGACGCTCGCCTGCAGATAAGGAGGTCGTGGGTTAAGATACTGGCGGCACCAGACATTTTTCTTCCCTTCAAAAATGACCTTGGCCCCAAGGTCGACCCAACCCCAAATAGGTAACAGGTGAAGTACTAGGAAGTGAAGGCGGCCGGTCAACATGACACCGACTTTAGACGCCTGTTCTTAACCATTTTATCATAAGCACCTGGAAATATCATCATCATCATCATCATTATCAACTTCATCATCTTGTTGGGCCGGTAATATCTCGAATATATCTAGCCCCTTAGGTGACGCTCTTATGGGTAGTCTCGACGGCGATGTGATCAAGCTTGAAGATGGTGGCTTCGTTTCATGGACACCTTGGACAGTTCGCCAGTGCACTTGTTACGGTTGCCCCTGGTGATCGTCACTGGAGCTACGGAATTCGTGCGACACTTCCGGTAGGCGTATAGCTGTTCTGTAGCGAGAGGTAAAGCCACCTGTGCACTGAGATCAAGCCTCTCGAATTTTACTTCGACTCTTTTTTTCTTCTACAGGATTTCTCTTTGACGTCCTCTTTTCCTCAGTCCACTTGTTTCCCATTTCAGTGTCTGTTTGATGATTATCTGTCCGCTTCTCCTCAAGGTGTATCCAATGTATTCAGAAACCACCGAAATATATATATATTGATGTACCAACATGAGCCTGCATTATGCTACAATAAACATTTACAATGAAAGGGTCATTGGGATTTCCATACCTGTATGTGCTACAATAAACATTTACAATGGAACGGTCAGTAAAATTACCCTGCCTACATTGTACTACCATTTACATTTACAATGGAAAGATCAGTAAAATTACCCTGCCTACATTGTACTGCCATTTACATTTACAATGGAACGGTCAGTAAGATTTCGATGACAAATTTGTGAGATCAAAAAAATGTTGCTACTTCTTCTCAAAGTTCATACCGTCTGACGTTGGTAGTTATGTCTTTTTTTTTTTTGTGCACTTCCAGTCAACTATGACACAGATGATCCTCTATGCCAGGGCTATTTAATTCGCGGCCCGCGGGCCAAATCTGGACCCCCGAGGCCTAACAAGTGGCCCGCAGATTGTTGCCAAAGTAGCGAAATGTAGTTATTAAATATTTTTTAAAAATAAATCAATGTTTCTAATTATTCTTCAAAAACCATTCGTGTCAATTGTGTGAATAGGTAGTGTTTGTCAGGAATCTGTAAATGCGAAGATACAAGGGAACCGGCATAGGGACAGAAAGCGTAATTAGATCCCGGTAAAAGTTCGTTACCAGATCGTTCAAATAGTAAAACTCGCCTGTTTGAAGCCAAATGTAATAAAATAGGCTGGGCGGAATCAAGTAGCAAGTAGGAAGGCCAACCGCTGCACTGGACAGTCAATGAAAGTGAGATATTTATTGGACAGGAGGCGTATGGAAATATCAGCACGGTCCTGACAGTTAGAGCTTACATTACAGAGAGTCTCTCCGCAATGGGTGCCACTGATACACACAAACTAATGGCATTGGATGCAGCAGAACATCGGACACTGGACACCGCAAAATACCTGCTAATGATCTTGTTATCAGATTATAACGTCCAGAAATACCGGACGCGATTGTACAGTAGCAAACTGAATCAGTAACAGTGTTTTAAATTACCTAGTTAAATACTTGATGCCATGACTAGCACTAGTAAGCGAGCAAAGTCAGAATGTGAAAATTGTGCATTCAACAGTGACTGGACACTGAAATAGTTTTTTATATCACCAACTCAGCCTAATTTGAAACCAGTATGCTTGCTATTTTATTTCTTCAACATTGCAAATCAACCTTAACCGATCGAATGAAATAAATATTTTTTTAAATTTCAATAATTTCAACAAATGTTTTGACGACTTCAATATCCTAAACAATGTAATGTTATTCGTTCGAAATCCTTTTAAAATCCCTCCTGCGGGTGATTTTTCTTCCAATGCTAAGAAGTTGATATCCTCTGTTGATGAAGGTTCTCTGCAGTTAGAAGTTGTGGATATTCAAAGTTCCAGCGCAGTGAATAAATATTTTCAAGAAAGTGGTACCGCCAGGTTTTGGTACTAGAGGATTCAACAGGAGAAGTTCTCTAATGATAGAAAAGTTGCCTTATTCATACTCACCATGTCTGGCTCAACTTTCACTCGTGAATCAAGCTTTTCACACATGAATGTCATCAAGACAAACAGTTGGAACTCACTGAGCAACGATAGGCTGCAGGATTGCATGAGAATTGCTCCAACTTCTCACCAGTCAAATTTTGTAAATTAGCTCAAAAACGTAAAGGCAACATTTCCCATTAATTACATTTTGCATCGTTATACCTTTCGGTTTCTTCTGCAGAACATGAAACCAACTGTGGACAGTTATTATTAATATTGCGACAATGTCATGGAAGTGACATAGGTAAAGTTTATTTATGATCCCAACGACAAGATGGAAATACGTGTATTTCAATTAAAATTGTTTCCCGTGTGGGCTCAGGTGCCTAATGTGGGAAAATGGGAATAGACCCACTGACTACTCATTTACCGAAGATGTGAAATTGGATAAAGAAATTAACATTAGATGCAGTAAAGCAAACCAAGTATTGGGACAGCTAGCTCCCCTCTTACAGCATAAGACAATCCCAATCAGCACAAAGAGACATTTTATTCAAAGCATATTTATTCCAACTCTGTGCTACCAGTGCCAGACATGGTCACTCACAACAAACCATAAAAGAAAATTAGTAACCATGGAGATGAGATGTCTGAGAAGGGCTGTAGTAGTGACGTGACCATAAGAGATAAGATCAGGAATGAGATCATAAGAGAAAAAGTCGACACAGAACCAATTCTAAATTACATACAAAGACAGCAAGTGAAATGGTTTGCCCACTTAGAGAGAATGCCTTGTGACACCATACCATACAAAGCATACATGGAAAGAGAAGAAGGACGTAGAGCACGAGGTAGACCAAGAACAAGATGGAAGGATAACATCAGAGAAATTACAACAGCACGATGTGCCTATGGTCGAGGCGGTTAGAAGAGCTAGAGACAGAAACTTATATTTCTCTCGACACCCACAGCAGTAAAAGAGGAAGTGAAGAAGAAGAAGAAGAAGAAGACTACTCAAAAGAATGTCGAAAGAGTCGACTAATTGGGAGCTTTCTTCGAAGTCGGAGTAAATCTGTCTGAGAGCCAAGGAATCTAGTCTGCATAGAAATGAGTAAGACGTATAAAACTGATGTGTAGGCAACACTTAGTTTCTGGAACAGGACTAGTCTAGAAGTAGACGTACAACCAGAACTTTCCACTGGAGTTTACCGCCAACAAATACAAAGAAGAAGAAGAATTACAAATGAGTATTAATTAATCATTAGAGAAGATTGTAGTACACTTTAGAAGAAAATGGTTTACAACACTGCTTCATTTATATAGGCTGTCCTGGGAGTAATAGTTTTCGAGTGCATTAAATGTACCGATTTGAAATATTGTCAATTGTAGTGTGGGCTCTGGCCACTGGACCGCGACGGTCTCCATGTTCAACATTTTTGCCCGCGAGCAAACGTAGTTGAATAGCCCTGCTCTATGCCATGTTGCCAAAATGTCCAGCCTCTTTTCTCTCGGTCTCCAGCTGCCTCTTCTCCCCTCCAACTTTCCTACTGGCACGATGTACTCCAGTTTTCTCCTTCTCGTCACATGACCAAAGAATGTAGATAGTCTTTAGGAATTCGTTTTCCCGTCTCAATTGTCAGAAAAAAAGATAAATGTTACTACAGTAAATCTATTTCCAGATCTTTATAAAGCTCACGGATATACAGGCGCGGGCGACGATGTCTTACCTTGCTTATGGTCACGTATCTGACAGGACTATGGACGGCTACGATTTTTGATGTCTGCTCTTGCTGAAGTTTGGGTAGACAGGAGAAATCAGCAATTACTGCAACAGCTTAGGGATTTCATTTGTAAGGAAAACTACACAACAGAATGTAAACTTCAACAAATGACCAAATTTTGTAAGTCGAGTTGAGTCAAGAATTGACATCACAGCACTCGGACAATTCTCATACACGTAGACGCTTATGGACAGGCATGACTACCGACGCTACACGCTATGGACTGTAAAAAGATGTGCGATGAATAACAACTTATTCTGCGTCAACGAATGTTTCAAAGTTCTTGATCCACACAGCACATACTTCTGGGCAATCAGACATTACAATTTCTGAGCTGTGTCTACTATGTAAGTTTGTTACAGTGAACCCACTATTGTCTTGTGAGAATATTCCGTGGCCTCTGTCCCTCGGTACGACTTTATAAGTGCTGCACGAAAGCCGCGAGAAAAAAATTTTTTTTTTTTTTGTGTGGGTTAATCGTCCGCCTGGACATTATAGGTTTGTGTTTGCGTTTCACAGTTCGGTTATCCTTGACGATCCAGGGTTGGACTGTAGATCTCGTGGCAGCCGGACACTGGTGCGCGAGTCGCGAGGTGAAAGAGACTGCCGCCTCAAACACGTAATGTTCCCAGACAGTAGTGGCTGCATTGTGACCAATCTTTAGTGTCAGTGTGGAAACGGCACAGTATTATCATTATTTATTTTTATTATTATTATTATTAATTATTTTTATTATTATTATTATAGGATAGCATATAATTTGAAAGCTGTATTGGCCATATTGGGATTTGAATCCTTCTCTATTAGTCGGCGAAACGTTTCCTGAGAAGGCAAGTGTACTTAGACGCACAGCCCCCCCCCCCCCCCCCCCCCCCCATACAAAGGCGCTTTCAGTGGACAATTTTATCTTTCATTCGGCAATTTTAACTTTTTTTATCTTTAAATAGACAGTTTTATCTTTCAGTAGACAATTTTTATCTTTCAATGGACAGTTTTATCTTTTAATAAATAATTTTATCCTTAAATAGACAGCTTTTTTCTTTCAGTTGACAATTTTATCTTTCAATAGACAGTTCTATCTTTCAATGGACAGATTTATTTTTTAATGGACAGTTTTACCTGTCAACAGACAATTCTATTGTTCAATAGACCATTTTTTTTTTTTTTTTTCATTCTCATACCATTGTATGAAAGCCAATCTTTTACATTATGCAACTTTTGTACCACTGTCATAGAACTACCAGAAGATCTAAAACTCTGGTAGTCAATGTTTGTGAAACGTCTTCACTAACCTAAAGCCACAGCTACCCACATGCCACTGACCTTATTGTGGATAATGTGCCGGATTTTGGCCTCCTCCACAAAGGGCAGGTCACACTTGGTGTGAAGATAGTCGTTCTCCCTGTACAACAACAGCAGGTGGGTGCAGAACTCGTTCCAGTCCACGAAACCGTCAGAGAGCGTGTCCAGCTGTGGCAGGCGACACACACAGCTCATTTAGTGTTAACCGTTCCCAGTGAGCTGGGAGGACAAGGGAGACAGACAGATGGACAGCAGACAGACAGACAGACAGAGGTAGAACAGGTAAAAGAATTACAGACCCTGCCTCGTAGCCATGTGATCAGTGTCGAATCAGTAACTCATTCCAATGACATCTAATTTGTTTCACTGACCAGGGCTCCAAAGTTAGTCAAGGTATACTAGGAAGTAAAAGCGACCGGCGTAATGGTTATCATTTCAGTCTCTGAGTCTCGAGTGATATAGAGCTAGCACTATGTACCTGATATGTGTCTGGGGCTGCTAAAGGACCTCTACCTTTCTGTATTTTTACCTGTCTTCGTCTGTATCTTTCTTTACCTCCACATTTCTTTACCTTTATCTTTCTTTGCCTCTATCTTTCTTCACCTTTACCTTTCTTTACCTCCACCTTTCTGTATCTTTACCTTTCTTTACCTTTATCTTTTTTTGCCTTCACCTTTCTTAACATTTACCGTTCTTTACCTTTGCCTTTTTTTGCCGTTCTTTACCTTTCTTCATCTCTACCTTTCTGTATCTTTACCTTTCTTCGCCTGTATCTTTCTGTACCTATACATTTCTTTACCTTCACCTTTCTGTATCTTCACCTCTCTTCACCTCTCTTTACCCCTGTCTTTCTTTATCTTTGCCTTTCTTTACCTCTACCTTTCTTAACCTTTCTTTACCTATACCTTTCTTTACTTTTACCATTCTTAACCTTTACCTTTCTTTACCTTTACCTTTCTTCACCTTTACCTTTCTGTATCTTTACCTTTCTTTACCTTTCTTTACCTTTACGTTTCTTTACATCTACCTTTTTTACTTCTACCTTTCTTTTACCTTTACCTTTCTTTACCTTTACCTTTCTTTACCTCTACATTTCTGTATCTTCAGACCATCGGATAACACATATTCATTAAAGTTATAAGGAAACAGCGAAAATCGTATGTTTGGGGGGGGGGGGAGGGGTCACCACAACATGAGGAACTGTATTAAAGGGTCGCTGCATTAGAAAGGTTGAGAACCACTGAGCATGAACTTGTATCAGGTTGAGAAAGTAGCAAAGGGTCTAGTATTTTCCAGCGAGCTGTGTTCAGGGGGAATGCTTTCACCAGTATTTGATGCATCATGGTGATGACAATGGTGATGATGATACCTAATCTTGCCAGCTAGTTATTTCCTATATGGGTTCCGCGGCTCCACTGATGGAAGGGGGGAGAGAATAGACCCACTGCCTCTTGCAAGCATGTCGTAAAATAAAACTAATTCAGGGTTTGATTCAGAAGGCGCAACTATCGCAGCCTGTTTGTAAACCAAAACAGCCCTTTTAAAGATGAACACCGAAGAAGTACGTCTTTCGATCTACAGGGGAACTCAGAAATTGGTCATTAATCGGTTCCTGAGGGGAGGAATAATATTAAAAACGACGAAATTAAAAAAGGGCGAGTATAAAAAAAAGGCAAAAATAAAAAAAAAACGAATATTAAATAGAACGAATATAAAAAAGACGAACATCAGAAAGGACGAATATAAAAAAAGACGAATAGCAAAAGGGACGGATATCACACGAATGTCCCCATAGGAATTAACTAAAGATGGTAATATTTGTTCCTAGCCCCGAAATTAGCCTTCTATTCTTTGACATATCACAACATTCACACGAAAATCTTATCTCGGAAATCATTGCAAATACAGTTTAATGACATATTATCCACCTTACTGATTACTGCTTTTCCACTGTTACAGAGATTTACTCAGCCTGGGGACGTTAATATACTGTAGACCCACCCACCCACCCACCCACCACCCACCCACCCACACAAACACACACACACACGCACGCACGCACGCACACACACACACACACACACACACACACACACACACACGATTTTGAAAATACAATTACCTTTTGAATGGGGGGAGGGGGGCGGATGACAATGGCTATTGTTAGAAGGGAAGTCCCACCCTCCATTATGAGATCAGGTAATGTTACTTCTGGTGATTGATGTCCTGACAGTTTGTCAGCATTTCTACCAGCACTGGGGTTTTTTTTTTTTTTCCAAGAAGTTATCCAATTTGTTTTTCTTTAGAAGAAGTAATCCAATAGTGTTTTGTCTAAGCACATCATTATCAAATGAAATTGATACGCTAATCAACTAAAGCAATGTTTGCATGTCATTTCTCGGTGAAAACCTGCTTTTTTGCCAAAGTGGACAGCCATTTCTTAATTTCAGAACTTGGAACTGGCTTATCGTCATCGTTTTTTTTTTTTTTTTTTCTGATGAAATTTCTCTTATTGTATCCGATTCCTATTTTTTGGGAAGCTTGGATAGCTCTTGTGGTGTGAGATCCGTTCTGTGGGCCTCCTCACCGGCCATGTCTGAGGAAAGGTGAATATTGACTTTTCAAGCGAATATCGAACTAAAATTAAAATGAAAAAAAAAAAAAAACAGGACGAATTAAAGAAAACAAAAAGACGAATATTAAAGTGGTAATATTGATTTCACTGTATGGAGAGTATTATTTCGGGCCAGGTCGGAAGCTTGCACTACGTTAAACATTGAAATAAAGTCGTGAAGATGTTTTACTACCTTGACAAAAAGCTTCTCCAGATAATCATCGTACTCGTCGGTCCCCAGAACTCTGAAGATGGTGTCCTTGAACTCCTCCAAGTTCATGGAGCCAGGTATTCTACGACGGAGTTTGCCCGAGAAGTGGCCCGGTGGCTGGGGCACCAACAGGTCATCCGAGGTGTGCAGGAAGAACTCATGCATGATCTGCTGCAAGTGGTGCAGTTTGATGTGGTCTTCCAGGCGTTGGTTGGAGCCGCTTCTGTCCAAGCTTGGTAAGAGATGATACAAAATAGTTTGCACAAAAAAAATTTTTAAGCGGTCATTTAATGGCATCTTAAGAAGCGCAGAATGGGATGGCTTTCTGCTTTATAACAGTGATCTTCAATCAGAATGTATGCATAATCATGTCACGGGGTAGGATAGGTAGTTCTTCTCTTCCAGGGTAGCATTATGTAGGGCTGTCACCTCACTTGAGAGAATTAAACCGATACCAATCCCTTAAACAGTATCAAACTGTTACATTAAGGTAGCCGACGTTTACGTAACCCGAGGGTTACAAATGTTACGTTTCTGTGTCTGGTTAGCTGTCTGCTGGTCCGCAAAACAAAATCCCCTGTTTTGGTGGGCCACGGGGGTAAGAAGTTAAGGAACACTGCTCAACTACATGCCAGATGGATTTAACGCTTATGTATCTAATGTGTATTTACTTTAAATCCGAACCTGAAATTAAACTACAGGCATCGGAAATTAGACATTTTCGAAAGATCCTTGGTAGTTACAGAGACCGCATCACAATTACGAAGTTGGCAGTTTCATCGCTCAACACAGATAAAACTATGAGACTATTTTAACACTGAAACATACGGCTGACTGGAAATGGCTGATGAAATGATGAAACTATATACAACTATAGGAAAGAGTCAGTCAGTGTTGAGAAGAGAACCATTGGAGAACATCGCGATGCCTGGAAAGATTAACGGTAAAAGAGGCAGGCCAAGAGAAAAGATGCTTGACCACCTGAAGCGATGGCATGGTGGAATATCATCAGTGGAAGTGATTCAGAAAACCAAGGACCGAAATCTGTGGAGAGACATGAACGCTTACGCAGCTGGACAGCTCACATAATGATGATGTTAATGATGATAATGATGATGATGAAAAGACAGCAAATGCAATCGTAGGGCATGTAACAAGATCTACAGGCCTCAACAGAACAATAATACATGGCTCTATAGAGGAAAAGGAAAGAGTCGATTAACAAACATGAAAGTATATGATCTGGCTGAGTGGACATGCTCAAACATACAAACATCATGTCAATTTCCACTGACCCACAGAGCTGGAGGGAGCTGATCCGAAAGTCAACAGTAACTGGTGACCCTGGGATACACCATGTGATGGTACTATGATGATGTAACTTTTGCACAGGCTTTGAATATAGCCCGGTCATAAATATGGCCTAACGGCTGAAAGGGGTTTCTGGGATCACCTCTCCACAGGTAATCCTCAACCGCATGGTGGCACTTTAGGTCGACGGGTGTTTATCGCTTGTGTGATGTCCTTGTGGGGTACAATAAGAGAGAGAAAAAGATAGGTGATAACAAAAAGAAAACAAGAAAACAAAATTACAAGTAATTTATTTCCGTCATGTTATGACACAACATAACGCTCTTATAAACACAATGAAGGGAAAAGTCAAAGACCAGAGAGCAAGAGGTAGACAGCAATACAAGTTTAAGGAAATAATTGGATTGACGAACAGCAGTCCCAGAGAGTGTTAATCAAAGACGAAAGGCAGAGCGTGTTGAAGATCCACTGCAGAGGCAACATCAAGCATGTCGGCTGTCAATCTCTACAGATTCGAAAAGCCAACAGTGTCGGTTTCGGGCTTCCCATGTATCAGATATGAGTGCTGTCAATATCTTCGACACTTGACGTGCAACTGTTCGCACCATTTCCACTGAACACAGAACCGCCGGTAGAATCTAATCATTGGATCACAGATCAATACTCAATCATGGACCATGACGGCGATAAACTTGGACTGTTCTTTCAAAGTGCCCCAATCTCTGAATCGGCAGACGAGGGAGAGGGCGGGGGGTAGGTGGGAGGGGGGATAGTTGACACTGGGAATACACTTTAACAAAGCGCAACTTTAAAGGTGTTTAAGGTTAGCAGGTTGGGTTATGTGGTTTAGAGTGTAGTGAATCGTTTCACAATGCAATAAGCGACGTTTACAGGGTTCATTTCCAGCGTTGGGCAGTTTATAACAAACAGTTCTTGTGACTTTGAAATAGTTGTAGGACAGTCGCACCAAGGAAGAGATAAGGGCCTCAGGACGTAACATTCCCCATGATCTACAGTGGATAGATTACAGCCAACCTTCATCCTTTAGTCGGTACCATGTATGGTTTAAGACAACACTGATTTTATTGCATCGGGTTATATCCTACATTGCGCGGTCTCTCTCATCAGAGCATTTTGCTGTACAAACATCGAAACTCCGTAGCTCCAGCGATAATCCCACTCATTTTTGTTTTGATTGATCTGAAAGGCAGAGCTCACATGTGGCAAACTCATATTCAAATGCTTGGTAAAAACGAATGGAAGTTGAGGAGAAACAATTAATTAGTCGAATTTTATTGCATGCTTGTAAGGTGGCAGTGGATCCCTCCCCCCCCCCCCCCCCTTTTCCCACAATGGGCCCTAAAACCCAGACGGAGACAATATCCAGTTTAACCTGCTAGTATTAATAATAATAATAATAATAATAATAATAATAATAATAATAATAAAAATAATAGTTCTACGTTAGTGCGTGTTCTTTACAGTATAACTAACCCCAGCAGTTTGTGTGAGTGTGTGTGCGTGTGTGTGCGTGTGTGTGCGTGTCTATGGAGACTGTTTGCGATTTCACTTGGTAATTTTACGTTCGGTAGTTTGCCATTGCTTCCTAGACGGTCGGCTCTAGAATACCACTGTCGAAACCAACATAAGGCCACCTGCTAGTAAATTGCCTGCAGTTGAAATCGAACCCGGCACTCCGGAATTACGAAGCGTGTTCCCAACCCCTAAGCCACAGAAACCAATAATAATAAAAGAGATACATAACAAATTATTTTTTAAAAAGACTATCTCAGGGAACAAGTGCCCGGTGAAGTTGAATGTGTCAACATAAATACGCAATTATCCCAGTTAGGTTATGTTGGGAACAGACGCAACGCAACAACATCACTCAGACGAACGGTGCGGAGGAAGAAAGGGAAATAATGATTATGATACACGATAATAATAACGGTGTAATTACACAAAAGTGGCCGATATAAATACCTCTTCGATGTGCTTTTGTCGCTGGACATTTTTCTAGCCGAGTCTTCACTGGTATCATCAGCATTTTGGAATGCATCAAGATTGACGGCCCTCAGAGATAACGACATTGTTGAAAACGTTACAATTTCACAGTCCGATCAGAATCAATTTCAGTCTTATGTACTCTGTGTAGTCATCGACAGTCGTTTTTCTGGACACACTCCTTCATTAACGAGCCGTAGACTAGTGAAATAGTTATAAAATTAGTGGTCACAGTGGCGATAGGGTTAAGTCGTTAGCCTAGTGATATGAAGGTATGGGGTTTCGATTCCGGACTCGGTTCTTCGGTTCTTCACTGTTGCTGTTCGTAAGCGTTGGGAACTACATAAAGCGCGAATTATGTGGCTCCAGTAGCGATCTTAATGGATCTCTAAAACACTAACAAGCGAAAACCAAAAGATGAAGTCTGAAAAGGAAACCACAACCTCCAGATCGCACCAAAAACGACTTAACCATCCCGACACGAAAACAAACTGTTCAGAACAGTGCAGAGTCCAAAGCTATGGGAGATCACTTGATATTTTCCTCCTCATCGCTTCGCTGTTTATGTTAATGAGTGGCTTAAACATGCAGTGAGATTTCCTATCGCTTTACTATTACCACCGTCTTCTGCAGAAAAACGCTAGAGCCGGTGGTGACTAATACTATTAACAAGCATTAGATGCTCGTACAACCTGAAAATTGAAACATCAAGAGGCAGGGAAAAACCGAGAATAATAAATGTTAAAAGGGTAAAACGGCGTCTTTCTTTTGCAATGAAAAGTGAAAGCGGCGATTACAAGTGGTACACGACTCCTGGTTACAAGTGGTACACGACTCCTGGTTACAAGTGGTATATGACTCCTGGTTACAAGTGGCACACGACTCCTAGTTACAAGTGATAACCTACTCCTGGTTACAAGTAGTACACGACTCCTTGTTACAAGTGATAACCTACTCCTGGTTACAAGATGTACACGACTCCTGGTTACAAGTGTTACACTACTCCTGGTTACAAGTGGTACACGACTCCTTGTTACAAATGGTACCCAACTACTGGTTACAAATGGCACACGACTCCTGGTTACAAGTGGTAAACGACTCCTGGTTACAAGTGATAAACGACTCCCGGTTACAAGTGATAAACGACTCCTGGTTACAAGTGGTACACGAATCTTGGTTACAAGTGATACACGACTCCTGGTTACAAGTGATAAACGACTCCTGGTTACAAGTGTTACACGACTCCTGGTTACAAGTGGTACACGACTCCTGGTTACAAGTGATACACGACTCCTGGTTACAAGTGATACACGACTCCTGGTTACAAGTGGTACACGACTCCTGGTTACAAGTGGTACACGACTCCCGGTTACAAGTGGTACCCGACTCCTGGTTACAAGTGATACACGACTCCTGGTTACAAGTGTTACACGACTCCTGGTTACAAGTGGTACACGACTCCTGGTTACAAGTGATACACGACTCCTGGTTACAAGTGGTACACGACTCCTGGTTACAAGTGATACACGACTCCTGGTTACAAGTGGTACACGACTCCTGGTTACAAGTGTTACACGACTCCTGGTTACAAGTGATACACGACTCCTGGTTACAAGTGATAAACGACTCCTGGTTACAAGTGGTACACGACTCCCGGTTACAAGTGATACCCGACTCCTGGTTACAAGTGGTACCCGACTCCCGGTTACAAGTGATAAACGACTCCTGGTTACAAGTGGTACACGACTCCTGGTTACAAGTGATACACGACTCCTGGTTACAAGTGGTACACGACTCCTGGTTACAAGTGGTACACGACTCCCGGTTACAAGTGATAAACGACTCCTGGTTACAAGTGGTACACGACTCCTGGTTACAAGTGGTACCCGACTCCCGGTTACAAGTGGTACACGACTCCCGGTTACAAGTGATAAACGACTCCTGGTTACAAGTGGTACACGACTCCTGGTTACAAGTGGTACCCGACTCCTGGTTACAAGTGGTACCCGACTCCCGGTTACAAGTGGTACACGACTCCTGGTTACAAGTGGTACACGACTCCTGGTTACAAGTGGTACCCGACTCCCGGTTACAAGTGGTACACGACTCCCGGTTACAAGTGATAAACGACTCCTGGTTACAAGTGTTACACGACTCCTGGTTACAAGTGGTACCCGACTCCTGGTTACAAGGGGTACCCGACTCCCGGTTACAAGTGGTACACGACTCCTGGTTACAAGTGGTACACGACTCCTGGTTACAAGTGGTACACGACTCCTAGTTACAAGTGATACACGACTCCTGGTTACAAGTGATACACGACTCCTGGTTACAAGTGATACAAGACTCCTGGTTACAAGTGATACACGACTCCTGGTTACAAGTGGTACACGACTCTTGGTTACAAGTGATACACGACTTCTTGTTACAAGTGGTACACGACTCTTGGTTACAAGTGATACACGACTTCTTGTTACAAGTGGTACACGACTCTTGGTTACAAGTGATACACGACTTCTTGTTACAAGTGGTACACGACTCCTGGTTACAAGTGGTACACGACTTCTTGTTACAAGTGGTACACGACTCTTGGTTACAAGTGATACACGACTTCTTGTTACAAGTGGTACACGACTCTTGGTTACAAGTGGTACACGACTCTTGGTTACAAGTGATACACGACTTCTTGTTACAAGTGGTACACGACTCCTGGTTACAAGTGGTACCCGACTCTTGGTTACAAGTGATACACGACTTCTTGTTACAAGTGGTACACGACTCCTGGTTACAAGTGGTACCCGACTCCTGGTTACAAGTGATACACGACTCCTGGTTACAAGTGTTACACGACTCCTGGTTACAAGTGGTACACGACTCCTGGTTACAAGTGGTACACGACTCCTGGTTACAAGTGATACACGACTCCTGGTTACAAGTGGTACACGACTCCTGGTTACAAGTGGTACACGACTCCTGGTTACAAGTGGTACACGACTCCTGGTTACAAGTGGTACACGACTCCTGGTTACAAGTGGTACACGACTTCTGGTTACAAGTGGTACACGACTCCTGGTTACAAGTGATACACGACTCCTGGTTACAAGTGATACACGACTCCCGGTTACAAGTGGTAAACGACTCCTGGTTACAAGTGGTACCCGACTCCTGGTTACAAGTGGTACACGACTCCTGGTTACAAGTGATACACGACTCCCGGTTACAAGTGGTACACGACTCCTGGTTACAAGTGGTACACGACTCCCGGTTACAAGTGGTACACGACTCCTGGTTACAAGTGGTACACGACTCCTGGTTACAAGTGATACACGACTCCTGGTTACAAGTGGTACACGACTCCTGGTTACAAGTGGTACACGACTCCTGGTTACAAGTGATACACGACTCCTGGTTACAAGTGGTACACAACTCCTGGTTACAAGTGGTACACGACTCCTGGTTACAAGTGATACACGACTCCTGGTTACAAGTGGTACCCGACTCCTGGTTACAAGTGATACCCGACTCCTGTTTATAAACATAAATGCTCAATAATGTTACCTCATATTTACTGGTACCGCCAGAAAAAATAGAAACTGATGTTTTAAAATTTAAAATAAGCAAGACTGAATCACTTTGCACAATATTATGTGAGCTTTAACTTTAAGAACACACATTCCGACATAAAAGTGAGGTCTAATTGGTAAAGTATGCCGACGGAAATGTTGAATAGGCATAGATTAGCGTGGAGCTCTCTGATTGTACACATGGTCTGACACATATTACGGCATACAAGAAATCATCACTCTCCTGTTGAAAGCTTAAACTTCACATAATCCTCCATTTTTCGTCCCTATTCCATTCAGTTCTGTATCATCTTTTTAACGTCATGCGTGGCATCCAGCCCAGAGCATTTCGCCTCTCTCAAAAAGTGCTAAATAACATAAAATATGACTAGAAAGCACAACGGAGGGATGGAACAGACGCGCACAATTACAATCAAACGTTTCGACCAAAGTCTTTATCAACGGATTACTAAAAAGAACATAAATTTTGATTGGAAAACTTAACAGACAAGACAACAGAGCATCTAACCAACTGTTGTGAAATTGGTTGCTCGTATCATTAGTCATGTTCACTCATATCATGAATATTAATGTAGGCTGTCGCACTCTCTGACCTCTGGGACACGTGCACTCTAATATCCCAGTAAGCACACAACGGCCAAGGTCAAGGTGAAACCAAGAAATGTGTAATGAGAAGTGGAGGGAAAAGGGCTGGGGGTACGGATTTGACATGAAAGGCTAAATTACAAAACGAAAAAAAAAGTAAGACAGCATTTGAAAAAAAAAAAAAATCGGAGATACATAAACAAAAGAAATTAATATATTCAAAAAATAAAATACAGATAAATAAAGCTCTGTTAAATATTAATGCCTCCAGGACTGAGAACGAACTCTGCCAACATCACTCGTCTCAAACATCCTGAAGTAAAATTATTAAACCGACTTTTTTTGTGTGGACCAAATGTTAACATAATTTTCCCCTTCCCACTTTCCCAAACACTGCAAAAATTCTTAATTAAAAAGAAACCACATCCCGCATAATTAATTATTATATAATGTAACTGAACTGTTAGTATTTAACGACATGTATACAGCGATGGTAAATCCATATATTCACTGTTATATAAATTAATTGAACCGTTAGTATTTAACGACATGTATACAGTGATGGTGAATCCACATAATCACTTGCTATATAAATTAATTGAACCGTTAGTATTTAACGACATGTATACAGCGATGGTCAATCCATATATTCACTTTTTATATAAATTAATTGAACCGTTAGTATTTAACGACATGTATACAGCGATTGTAAATCCATATATTCACTTGTTAGATAAATTAATTGAACCGTTAGTATTTAACGACATGTATACAGAGATGGTGAATCCACATATTCACTTGTTAGATAAATTAATTGAACCGTTAGTATTTAACGACATGTATACAGCGATGGTCAATCCATATATTCACTCCTTATATAAATTAATTGAACCGTTAGTATTTAAAGACATGTATACAGCGATGGTAAATCCATATATTCACTTGTTAGATAAATTAAATGAACGGTTGTTATTTAACGACATGTATACAGCGTATTCACTTGTTAGATAAATTTAATGAACGGTTGGTATTTAACGACATGTATACAGCGATGGTAAATCCATATATGCACTTGTTAGATAAATTAAATGAACGGTTGGTATTTAACGACATGTATACAGACAGCAAAGGTTAATCCATATATTCACTTCTTATATAAATTAATTGAACCGTTAGTATTTAATGACATGTATACAGCGATGGTAAATCCATATATTCACTTGTTATATAAATTAATTGAACCGTTAGTATTTAATGACATGTATACAGCGATGGTAAATCCCATATATTCACTTGTTATATAAATTAATTGAACGGTTGGTTTTTAACGACATAGATACACCGCTCGTAAAAGTAAAGTAAAACTAAGATTTTATTTGAAGACTAGCAGTGTGTAGCCTAGCGGTGCACACATGCTGTACAAATATGTCTGCAACTGTAAAAGAAACGATTCCATTTGCATATTCTCAGATTTGTTTTCTTTGGCCGCTTGCGTGATTGATCAGAAACCTCCCATACACACGGCAGTTCAAAGCGCTATTTCCGAACAATGTAATCTATGTAGAAACGTACCTGGGCGAGTTACGGTGTCGGGTTTTGTGCTGAGCTATTAGTGTTGTGTTAGTGGAGTGAGGAGTGGGGAAACTTGGTAATTAGTTGAAAGGGAGAGGGAAGAGAAGAAAGAAAGAAAGAAAAAAAGAAAGAAAGAAAGAAAGAAAGAAAGAAAGAAAGAAAGAAAGAAAGAAAGAAAGAAAGAAAGAAAGAAAGAAAGAAAGAAAGAAAGGAAGAAAGAAAGAAAGAAAGAAAGAAAGAAAGAAAGAAAGAAAGAAAGAAAGAAAGAAAGAAAGAAAGAAAGAAAGAAAGAAAGAAAGAAAGAAAGAAAGAAAGAAAGAAAGAAAGAAAGAAAGAAAGAACTATATTATCAGAAAAAAGCGAAGAAAAACAGAAAGGAATAAAGAAAGAAGGAAGGACGGAATGAAGGAATACAGGAAGCAATGAAGTAAGATAGGATTAAACAAATGGAGACATGGAGGAAGGAAGGAATGAATGAAGGGAGGAGTGAATGAAGGGAGGAGTGAAGAAAGGGGCAAAGGAATGAAGGAAGGTAGGAACGAAGGAGATATCGAAGGACAACAGCAATCGAAACTACAAGAATGATTTCACCATCAACAAAAAATAACATGAAAGAAAAACAGACAGACAGACAGACAGACAGACAGACAGACAGACAGACAGACAGACAGACAGACAGACAGACAGACAGACAGACAGACAGACAGACAGACAGACAGACAGACAGACAGACAGACAGACAGACAGACAGACAGACAGACAGACAGACAGACAGACAGACAGACAGACAGACAGACAGACAGACAGACAGGCAGGCAGGCAGGCAGGCAGACAGACAGACAGACAGGCAGGCAGGCAGACAGACAGACAGACAGACAGACAGACAGACAGACAGACAGACAGACAGACAGACAGACAGACAGACAGACAGACAGACAGACAGACAGACAGACAGACAGGCAGGCAGGCAGGCAGGCAGGCAGGCAGGCAGACAGACAGACAGACAGAATGTTGACGATATCGCCGCTCGAGTATGGATTGCTCTATGAAATGTGGATATATCATCATATGGTTTCTAAGATAAATGTTACGAATACATTGGACGGCCAGAGTAACTAACAACGATTGTTTGAAAGAAGCTAATGAAAGTAGATCTCTATATACAGTGATAAGAACGACAAACACTCTTCTTTGGTCACGTAATGAAAAGAGAGACATTGGAGAACATCGTGGCAACTGGAAAGATCAGTGGGTAGAGGCAGACCAAGAGAGAAAATACTGGATAGACTGAAAACATGGTTTGGACGGATATCATCAAGAGAGCTGTTCCAGGCAATCAGGGATCGTGATCTGTGAAAACGCATGAGCGCTTACGCCAGTTGGCAGCACACATGATGATGATCATCATCATATACCACATGCTCCACTTACGTAAAATGGTTCCTTCAATGTTACTGAGCTTATACATCCACCTATCTGTCTGTCTGTGTGCCTGATTATAGAAATGTGTAACCCGCAAGCACAGGTTTGTTTTGTCTAGCTAGTTACTAGGACGAGCGATCAAGCACTAGCAGATTCCCCTTATACACACTTGAAAACCTGTGGTAATCAGTGGCTTTGTTGGTGAACCAACAAGTCCACAAGGGGAGATTACCCCTGGGACCACCAAGCTAACAGAGCCCGCAAACACTTCTCCCGTGTGTCATAATCTGACTCGACCAGAACCTTCACTGAATCAACAGTGAGGTGGGGGCAGTGGCTGTAAGGTACCTGGAAATAATGGGTTGATAAGAGTTAAGGGGAGTCGTGTTTACAATGACGTTGAGAAATGCTGTGAAATAATCACTCAAACATAAACTGGCTTTGGGTCTGAGAACTAGGCACAGTGATTCTCAAGTTCCTTACATAAACTTAATGCGGGAATCACTAAGTTGGTGTGGCTAGTGATTATAGCTTCAAGTCCTTCTTTTCAGGACTAATAGGTTAATATACAGTTTCGTCCTTTTCAGGACGAAATTTTTTGTTATTTGAAGCCCCACCCTGGCTTTTGCCAGGGGCCGCAATATAGGCAGGCCATAAATATGGCCAATTGTCTGAACGCGGTTTCTGGGACCTCTCCACGGCGATCCTCATCCGCATGGTGGCACTTTGTGTCATCGGGTGTTTATCGCTTGTGTGATGTCCTGGTGGGGTAGAAAGTCAGTCAGTCAGTCAAGTTGGTGTGGCCACCGACGGTCGCAAAAAAAAAAAAAAAATTTCTTTTAAAGGTTAAATGGGGTGTTAGGTGGCTGGATCACATTTTGAGGAGAGAAGGTGGTAGTCTCTGACATCCTGTATGGCGAATTACAGATGACTAGACATTTTCGAGGCCCGCCTCTACTACAGTATAAAGATGTGTGCAAGTGCGACATGAATGATACAGTTATTGAGGTGGATTCATGAGAATAGAATGTCATCGACCGCGTTGACGGGGGAAGAAAGACGAGGGAGGCGGAGAGAGATTAGAAATGAAATAGAACAAAAAAAAATTATTTCTGATAGGCTGTCAGCTGAGTTTGTGATAACAAGAACATAAACTACATGTGACGGCAACAACGGTCTTAACATTCCATGGTCTGATGGTAGAAGAGTTTTCTAAACGCGGACAGGTCTTGCTGGTTACAGTCGCCATCGCCATGGGCTGTGAGTCCCATGCTTCCACACCACAGCACAGTATAAAAACACTATTGTCGACGGTGAGGCGTCAACGACAAAAACAGCGTGTCTAGGATGTGTCCTGTCGGCGCGCCATTCACACC